AGCTTCGTTCTTTTTTAGGGTCTTCAGTTACTACATTTTCTTGCATTTATTTGTTTATGTTACGATTTAAATGCCATCGTGTTTCAGTTTCGATTCCAAATTTGTCCCAACATTTTTTCTTCCTTCCTCCTTTATTTTTTTTTTTAATTTCTCATTTTTTGTGTTTTATCGTAATATAATTTTTATTTTAACGTCTGCCCTGTAATTTGATTATGAGATCAGAGATTCAACTTAATTTGATCCTGAAATCTGATATAAGAGATTCAAATATTGACACGAAATCTTATCAAGAGGGTAAGGATCCAAATATTGATAATCTTATCGAGAGGGCAAAGATTCAAATCATTCAAATCTTGTTCAAATGTTGTTAGGTCAGAGATTCAAATCTCGATCAACTATCAATCAAGAGGCCAGAGATTCAAATTTTGATAAGTAATCTCTGATGAAACGGTTCCGGTTACAAATATTGATGAAGTAAAAATAATAATAATAAAAGTTTAAATTGCAAATTTGATCGAAAGCATATATCAACCACATGAAGAGATTGACATAAATATACAATTTATATTCAAAGCATCAGAGATGAAGTTTGATGCAAGTTTTCAGCGGAAGAAACTTTATGTACAAAGTCATCATGAAACGTTTGAAAGCAGAAGCGGTAATAACACAAAATCAAAGTTCAATAATGTAAAAACAGGAAAAGCTCCACAAGAGCAAACGTATATGTAAAAAAGCTTCAACTTGCTTGTCATTATCTTTCTGTACTCTCATCCCCATGTCCTCTTTTGACAAGAATTTCAGACCTCTCAAGCACCAATGGACATCTTGCCAAGCTTCTGAACGCAGCCCCTGTTATATTTAGCAGGAACGCGCTTCAGCAGTTTGACTCCGGTCGTGCTGCCTTTGCTCTGCAATAACATGAACTTGGATGAGTTTACACATTCAATTATGAGCATTGCCTAGAAAAACTGTGTCATTTGACTTACCTTCAGGCAAGTTCCTGCATCAAGGTCACAGATGGGGTATTCATGGGGGCAGCAACTGTAATGGTCGTCGCAACAGGTTGCAGACTCGAGCGGGCAGCATCCCCAACCAAAGCAGGTACTTCCATACTTATAGATACAGCAACAGGTTGTTCCTTCCTGGCACGAGAAGTATTCGTCGCATTGATTCGGGGGACTCACAGGGGATGGCGGAGAAGGGGCAGGTTTTGGTGGGTTCTTTCCTGTCTTGGTGGGGTATGAAGCCTCTATGGCTATACCACACTTGCCTGTGGTAATGTTGCCCACATTCCTCTCCAACTTGATATAACCATTCTCTCCCCAGTTTTTACCCCATGAATTCCTCACAATCCAATAATCTTTTCCATCTTCTGTGCCATATCCAACAGCAACAACACCATGATCCAGTTCGGTTCCACAAAGTCCGTTGAAGACACCCTAAATGATGCATAAACATAGATCGTCTTCAAAACAATCGCACACCACATCGAACTATGATCGTCTTAAAAAAAACACACACAAGCACACACACAGAGCCCTGAATGATGTATAAACACAAAACGTCTTTAAAACACGAGCAAAACACACGGACTTGAGAAATACACCCAAACAGGAGACAACACCATGAATGATGCATAAAGACAGATTCGAAGGAAGTGCTTAAAAATGGTTTCACTTGAAAAGGCATTCCAAACAAGTCCGTCTTTACAACGCACACACAGCAGAATATGATGCTCAAATAAGAATTCAAAACAGATCAAATTTCCCAAGTCAGAGATGTTAAAACCATAGATTTGTGAAGCAACATTGAGGAAGTTGTTCAAAGTTAAAGAAATTACTGATTGGTAAAGTTGGAAGGCCCTGCCGCCAGCTTCAATGGCAACACTAACAGGTTGATTAGCCACAGCCTTTTTCAAGGAGCTCTCATCATTCTCAGGAACATCTTCATATCCATCTATGGTTACAGCTTTAGAATTTCTCTGTTCAACCAACAAAATCAAATTAGGATTTTGGTTACAAAAAATGAATCAAACAAAGCAGTTCAAGACGAACCCGGTTGGGATCGCAAGTGCCATCTCTGCCCTTGTAAGGGTAATCTTCCTCAGTGTCAATTCCACCATTGTCAATGATGAACTGGAAAGCATAGTCCATAAGACCACCATTGCACCCCATGTTATATGATCTATCACAGTCTACAAGCTCCTGCTCCGACAGAGAGATCAATTCACCGGTGGTGATTTGATTTATTCCTTCCACTGCAGCAACTGTTGAGAAAGCCCAACAGCTCCCTTCATTCAAAACATAATCCAGTTACGTTAATGATCCATGAAAATCTGTAATAGAAAGGTTATTAGTAAAACAATCCTATGAGACAAAAGGTTTCTTGGAAAATAAGTTTTCCTCGAAAAGTTTATAGTGAGTTTTCTGATGTGATCGATAATCATCCACCAGATATCAGAGAACAAATCAAGCTGTTTTTAACAGATACAAATTATTATAAGCGTTATCTAAAAAATCTATTTTAGACAAATGTTTCCTATAAATATGGATCTCGTAACAAATTTCGTGCAAAAGTCAAAAGCTCAAAGACCAAATGAGAAGACAAAAGGAAAACACGTAATTCAATCATCATTTCCATCGGATCAGTTCAACAAAAATGGTGCAAAGAAAGGGAGGGGGAAAAAGACTCACCACACTGTCCTTGATCTTTAACATCCGTAACAGCGCCCTTCTTCCTCCAATCAACATGATCCGGCAGATCATCGCCAAGCGTGATCGCATATCTACGACTCTTAGTGGCGGAGAGGCGGTTCTTTCGGGACAATCGACCGCTAAGAAACATGGCGCGATACTCCTCGTTGGAGAGATCGGCAAAACGGTTCAATCCAACCTTATAACTCCGCGATTCCCTGTTATGTTCATCGATGAACCTGAGATTATCCTTGAAAATCTCAAACCGTCTCTCCTTCTCGCCAAGAGCGTTGTAAGCCTTTCCATTGTGAACCAACCACGACTCGTACAGAGCCGCAACCTCCTCATCGGAGCGGTGAGGGGATCCGATTTGGACATCCAAGTGGTGTTTAGCGTTTTCATCGATGATGGAAAAGCTGGATGAATCAGAAGCCAATGAAGATGAGGAAAAACATAGGAAGAGCGCTAGAAAGGCGACGATGGAGAAGGAGAAAGTGGTGGAAATCGCCATGTTTGGTGGATTGGGCAGAAAGGAAAATGGGTGTGAAGGGAAAGTAAAGGGGATTCGTGAATATAAATAGGAAAGTTTGGAAGAAGAGATGGGATTGGCAAAACAACGCCCGAAATTACAGAGAATATTTGCAACTTCGAATCTGTTTCAAAACTACGCTTTTAGCCATTGGTGGGGGACAGACAGTCGCATCTTTGAAATCTGCTATTTTAAAATATTCTAAATTTTTAATTTCCCAATTTTTTAATTTTTTAATTTAAAAAATTTAAATTTATTACACAAAATTAAAGACTAAAAACCTTCTATGTTTGATTCTTTTATTTTTTTTTTTTTTTTTGTTGGACTTATTTTAAATATGGGAAGATATTGAATGATCAAACATGGAAGGTCGGTCGATATTTATGATAAACTTGGTTGAAATAAATTTCAATTTTGATTTAATTTTTTAAGAAGAATCATCCGAAAGAATAAATTATTCGAGTTTCAATTTTTTTTCTTTTTGAAGAATTATCAAAAACGAATATTATTTTTTATTAGAGTTAAATTCATTAAAGAAATTCGATGGAATTATTTTAATATTTTAGATTCATTAAATACTTAATTATTTTTTATTATATGTCACACTCTCTATTTGTGATGTCATGGGCGCCTTACCTTATTCAATCATGCTTTTGTGACCTATCTCTAGCTCATCTAGGGATGGCGTTCAGTCTCAAACAAATTGAATGTGTATTATTTCCCTACACACGACCCACAAGTGCGAGTGTGAATTCCCAAGGCGCTCACACACCTCCTGGACTCTCTGGTAATGACGTCTAGAGACTAGTGGAACCCCATTGTGTCATGCTCCCCATTATGTCATATTAAGCGCGTCCGCACTTATCATCTCTAGGGGAAGTATCTCTATGCTTATGCATGAGGTCTCTCTAAATCCATCCTATCATCTCTTCTGACACAACCCTCTAGTCTCATCTCTTTGTTACATTAAGTAACAAATGCTCGTTTGATATTTATATTAATATTATTTTCATGCTCTTAGGGTGGTGTTTTATGTCGGTCTATCGACATGATGCAATATGACACGCATCATTATATAACATGCTTAATATGGAAAACATCAACATATTAAGACAAACGTCATGCAATCATCATACTCATCATATCGTCATAATACTATGCGCGTTCGTACTCATCATCTCTAGGGGAAGTAGCCGTATGCTTATGAACATACAATATTCATGGTCCTTTTAAATCCATCATAATGTCTCTTCTGACACAACCCTCTAGTCTCATCTTCTTTGTTGTAACACATACTCGTGGATATTTATATTAATATCATTTTCATGTTCATCTTCTTTGTTACTCTAGGTAACACATACTCGTGGATATTTATATTAATATCATTTTCATGCTCATCTTCTTTGTTACTCTAGGTAACACATACTCGTGGATATTTATATTAATATCATTTTCATGCTGTTAGAGTTGTGTCCGAGGTCGATCTAACGACATGATGCAGTATGCCAATCATTATCTATGTTACATTGAAAACATTACACAATATTTTTTAAAACTTACATTGAAAAAGCTAATATTTTAAAAAATATGAACAATGGTTTTTCATTAAATTTAGTTTCACATTGAAAGAACAATTAGAAGATTAAAAATAGCATATTGAAACCAAGAACATAACCTTTTCCAATCCAAACATGGATTTAAAAAATTAAAATAAAAAAATAACTAAAAACCCATAAGATCAATCCATTATAATAAAATAAGAGAATTCAATTTAACAAGACAATATAAAAGAAGAAAAAAAAAATAACCAAAATAAAATTCAAGGGGACCAATCAGATCAATCCGATATGATAAAAGCAAGGTCAACCAATTCAACAAGCATCAAAACTTTGTTTAATCGGTGAATCGAGCACATCCAGTGATAGCAGCACAACCGCGACGATAAGGATTAATCCTTCTCCGCTTCTTGCAATCATAGTAGGAGGAACCACGACGGCCGCAAGGGATATTATTCTTACTAAGTGCATAGTAGGTCAAAAACCTCTTGCGAGCTTCAGTATTATAGGCAAATCCATATTGGAAAAGTTGTCGACGACTATCTTCAGTCATGGATTCGGAGGAGTCTCCACCAAAGAAGCTATATTTAGAATTATCGTCAACGAGAGATGAATCGTAGGAGGTTTCATGAAAGGCAACGGAGAACGGAGCAACGACGGCGAAGACGAGGAGGAGAAAGAGGCAGATCTTCATTGTTTCCATGTTTGTGAAAATGTGTGAGATGATACTCTTGGTTTTGGTTTCTATTTTTCCCCCTTCTTTTATTGAGGGAAGGAATGGTTATTTATAAACGGTTTAGATAAAAACTCTGTATACAGTTGGTTATTTATAAACCGTCTAAATAAAGATTCAACTTTTTTTTACTCTTTCCTTTTCCGGTAAAAACGCCTAATTACCAATATTAGAATTTCTTACTTCCTACAAAAACAAATTAAAAAAATAAAAGGTTTAACCAAATTTAATTTCATTAGAGATATGTGATTGGAAGATGTCTTATTTTATTAAATAATATTAATTTTGTTATAATTATTTAATTTTAAATTAGAGATTAAATGAACGTTTTAAAAAATCACAGTGAATAATTTAAATAGTTGCAATTACTTAGGCTGTCAATAATTTTATATGAATTATAGTAAAAGAATAGCCCAATGAATCTTAAATTAAAAATTAAGAATATAATTATTAATCGAATAAAAATAAAGAATATAATTGTTAACCGAATTAAAATAAATAAAAAACATAATTTAGGATAAATTGGTGACACCCGTGTGAGCTAATCAGGTAAGTGGCCTGATTATCGACATGATTATATTTGATGTTAAAACATGTCATGTGACTCTGCACGTGTCATATATATTGGTATATGTATGTTATAATACGTGAATTGTATGATAATTACTTATGGTACGATGTGTTCAATGATATGTTTGAGGTAGGATACGAGAAGGATGCACTAAACATAATGTAATGATAGGAGTAAGATACATTCATGAAACGTTAAAGTTAAATAACGTATCGAAGTGCTATGGATACGAGAGATCGATAAAACAATATGGTTAGGTTATAGGTAGAAAGAGATAAGATTATGATAGATTGATAGAATGATAGCGTTAGGATACGTTCCTGTAAAGTTATGACTATAATAAATATAAAAATGTTAAGACTATGACAAGTTAGAGAACGATATGACCACGAAATGTTTATGATATGATATGATTATGATACAACATGTGAATGGTGGATATATATATATATATATTGTTATATGATATGAAAATGATATGAACAATGTTATGATACGAGATATGTAATAAGTGGCATGTTTATGATATGATACATTGTGATGCGATATGTTATAGTATGATATTTATATGATGAAAATTTTTATGTCTAAAAACATGAAATGATGAAAATTGTTATGTCTAGAAACATGAAATGTTATGATATGACATAGTCATGTAATTTAAATGATATGATGTGATTGGCATAACGAAGAATTAGCATGAAATACAACCGAACGTATGCATGAAATATAAGATAAATGATATGATAAACAAAATGTGAAATGATATGAAAAACGGTATGATAGAGCAGGGTTGTATTAAATGATAATGAAAATGGAAAAAATGTTGGGACCTCTTATTGTGTGGTGTAGGATACCTCTACCCTTCACATAGTACTTACTCATGCATTATTGTATGCTCTAGGATACTCCTACCCTTCTCATAGTATTTACTAGGAAAACGATCATTATGATTATCATAATGCTGAGAATGATCAATTTGTAATCAATTTGTTTAACCTAATGTTGTTGTGACGGTTACTAATTCTAACGGGTGTCCGACCTAAGAAGCTCAGAGGGTATGCTTCTAACGGGTGTCCGGCCTAAGAAGCTCCTAGAGTATGCTTCTAACGGGTGTCCGGCCTAAGAAGCTCCTAGAGTATGCTTCTAACGGGTGTCCGGCCTAAGAAGCTCCTAGAGTATGCTTCTAACGGGTGTCTGGCCTAAGAAGCTCCTAGAGTATGCTTGCACGATAAGTCTCGTCATTGCATTCGCACGTTCTTGTATTTAACCCCAATAGTGAAGTCACTATATTTTTTCAGATTAAGGCAAAGCATTCAACATCGGAACTCGAGACCATGACAATGTATAAGGTAGTCATATTTATTTTCGTATTTTGCACCTAAGTCCATGGCAGTTTCATATTTTGCACCTAAGTCCATGACAGTTTCGTATTTTGCACCTAAGTCCATGGCGGTTTCGTATTTTGCACCTAAGTCCATGGCTATGTCTTAAGTATTCGATAAATGAAAAGTATTTCTCCATTCAATATATAATTTATATCCTTAATTTTAAAGCATATTTGTCAAGAATAATATAATATATACTTCAAAATTAAATTGGGAATGATTTTGTAGAGTTCACAAAAGATATTCACAAAACATATCAATTAGTAAATCATTAATTTTTTCCAATTCAAACACAACTCAAATCTAATTAATCAGACAACAAAACTCCATTTACACATGAATCGAGTTTTCATCGAGCTTAATTATGACATCGAGCTCATTTGGTGATAGTGACACAACCTCAATTTACTGATGAGTCGAGCTTAATCATGACATCGAGCTCATTTGGTGATGGTGACACAACCATGATTAGGATTTACAATACAAAAAAAAAAAAAAAAAAAAAAAAAAAAAAAAAAAAAAAAAAAAAAAAAAAAAAAAAAAAAAAAAAAATTTT